TTTTTCCAACATTAAAGTCTAATACTTCACACAAATTCCCTCCAATACTTAATCACTTATCATTTTAAGGAAAAAGATAAAGAAAACCACTTAGAATTCATCAAATCCATCAAAAAAACACAACCACACTTTAGTTTGAAAGTAGAAATTTCAAAATATAAAACAACTCAAAATTTATGTAGTCATAAAGCTAAAAAATTATCTCAAATCCTCTCCACTAAATGTCTTGAAGTTCCTTTGAATATCTTCCTTCACTTACAATACAAACTAAATATTAAAAAAAAAAGTGGGCAGCGGCAGCGATGACAACGGGCGGCAGAGGCGACGACGATGGATGGCGGCGGCGGCGTATGTGGTGGTTGGCACAGGTTGTTCTGGATGGCTCGATGGCTTATCTCTCCCCCCTCTAATCTCTTTTTTTATAAAAAACCAAGAGGTGCCTTGGTGTCTCTTGAAAATGTGTCCCCATTCAAATCTTCTAAAAGTTGCCTCCTTTCAAAAGCCAATTGAATGAATTTTTGTGTCCATTAACTATTTCTCATGTTTTCACCAAGGGTTGCTTCAAACACCTTCTCAAAAATTCATCCAAATTCAATGAATCATAAAATAAATACTTCTAGTGCTTAAGCACGGGGTACTTGACGCTTAGACCTGGCTCTCCCTATTTAACTAGCGCATAAGCGCCAGTCCTGGGCGCTTAAGCGCCTCAGTTCATTTTCTGCACCTTCTTCTTTTTTACTCCAAATTTGATCTTTTTTCACTGTTCTAACCAATTTTCATCCATTTGATTATACCTGAAAGAAAAAACACAAATACCTTTCATTAAAGCATAATATCTCAAAAATAGGTATAAAAATGTGTACATAAATACTATATATTTTAGGTGTATCAATCATCTATGGAGGAAGCTGATACACCTTAAAATTATTAGTTTTAAATATATATTTAATGCTTTTTTTGTACAATTTTTATGATATTGTGCTTTAATGAAATGTATTTTGCATGTTTTGGGTTTTAGGTGCAATAAATAAATTTTTGGAGAAAATGGAGTAAAAACGGTGCAATTTGGAGTCAAATCAAGCAAGGAAGAAAATTTTGATCTAACACATTTTGTTGGAGCAAGATTGGAGTTGAAACAGGGTGAAATGAAGTGAAATGGAGTGAATTAGAGTCGCCCCAACTTTTAAACTGGCGCCATAGCGCCCAAACTGGCACCATAGCGCTAGTCACTTTAAGAAACAGGTGTCATAGCGCCAATTATAGCCATAGTAATAGTAACCTTTTTGGATGGTTATTGCTCAATTTAGAGAATTTTAAGCAGCATTTTACACTTGAGAAGGCACCTTTTGACATTTCAAACTTTTGAAATCTCCAAGAACATCTAGAGGTCATAGATATGAGTAGGAAACTTAGATTTATACCTTTTCAAGAGAGATTATTGGTGATTTTGAGAGATATCTGTAAGAAATTGTATGAGCATTACATGAATCAGTAGGAGATTTTGTTGGAAGAATTTTCATTTTTCTTTCAGAGAGAAAATCCTAAGTATTGTGTTTTTTATTATCTTATAATTACTGTAAATACTTATCTAGTGAATTTGTTTTGATTTAAATAAAGTTTTCGATTGGGTGTGAGTGATTTTCCTCATTATTTCTCCTTATGATGAGAATTAATCATGTGTGGGATTAGAATGGTTTGAAGATTTCCTTTATTTGAAAATTGTGATGGTATTTTCAGCGGTTCTTATTTACTTTGAAAACTGATCATTTGTAATAATAAAATCCATTGTGAAACATAAAGACCCGAGAGGGTTATGATTTCACCCAACTAGTGAGTACCACACTAACATTACGAGGAGGGGAACCACAATCTAAGGAGAGTGAAAATAGATAGGGAGATAAGTTTTGATGGACATAAAATTGATATTTCTAATTTCTAGGGTGACAGGCTAGAGGCTAGATCCTTTACCAATTTGGTCTAAAGCTGGAACTAAGGGACCCTGGTAAGTCCTATAAAGAGGGTCCAGTTAGTAATCTTGAAGTGGCAGGCTAGAATCTACTTAGCACTAACACACAAGTCAGAATTTACTTTAGATTAGTTAATACTCTTTATGCACTAGAAAAAGGGTAAAGATCCAGGAATGCTTCTATTTTTCATAATACAACATTTTAAACTTTAAACATTTGATTTCTACGCTGATTTTAATCTCATAGCAAAGAGAAACGGATTTTAATTATATAAAGCTTTCAAAATTTTATCCAATCTCTTTAGATTAGGTTTTTATTTAATTTAGTTAACTTTAATTTTATGGTAATTTACTAAATTAAGGAAAACCAAACTTTCAAAAATTCCAAACTAAGACCTGATAGTACTAGACTAGAATTAAGCTGAGAAAGTTCTTATCTTGCTTCTCTGTGGAATAGATATTGGGCTCTTTAAACAAAAGTCCTATATTACTTGAAATGATATGTATACTTACGAAGTACCCCTAGTGTGTAAACTATTTTCTAAATTTCATAACATTTTGATTTTGCATACTAGCCACTAAATATAAATTGGGTCAAGTTTTTTACCATCTTTTGCGAACTTAAATAACTATGTAATTGCGAGTCAGATCAGAAGCTCGTTGAGATGCATCATCATCTCAGAGATTGAAGTATTTTATGTTAAGTATTACTTATGAGTGCAACTGGGCTTGCCCAAGGAAGCATGATTGCACCATATGTTGATCTCCACACATTTCATTAATCCTAGAGGGTTTAGGAACTTGAGTTTAAGGTGTGACGCAGAAGTGACGATGTTAACGATATACTGTAAAGACTTTTGAAGATAGTGTTGCACACTGATTCTAACTTGAAAATAATAAACTAGATAGGGTGAGTTGACTTTCGAGGAAATTCTCTCATTATGATGTGAAGATTTATCATTCCTTCAACCCTACTGGTCAGTTATCAAACCCATACAATGATTTAGATGCACGGTGAAGTTTCTATCTATTTAGTTTGGAGAGGAAGGTGGACTAGAATAGGACATCAACAAAGTTATAATTGTTAATCAAAATTCTCTTCATGATGTAGCAGGGTTTGCCAATTCCTGCTCTAATAATGAAAGGGTCTCAGACTCCTTCTAGGTCAAAATCAACAAAAGTGATGGACATAAAGCACAATTTATTCTACATTCATTCTCCATGTACAAAGACAAGGACTTGGTCGGATAACAACATGCCTCCAACAATTTTTTGAATTTCTCCAACGATCTAACGACTCTCATGTATTGCTTCTACGTTTGTTGCCCCATATTGGTAGCATTATTAATAATAGTCGGTCTAGTCAACACAAACTAATTCATGTACCCATGTCAAACCAGTCTTTCAATCTCTATATTAAGCTATTTACATGCTTAGGTGGTGTGACCAAGACTTCAGCCTAAGTAACTATATTGATCATGATTCCTTGAGTTAGATTTTCAGTGGGAAAGCTGCATAATAGTCTCTTTATCCTTGATGGGCATCAAAATGTTGTGCATGATATGTTCAGCAATTTATACTCCTTTGATCAAAACTTGCACCATTGGTTTGCTGGTCAAGGAAGCAAACTATGACTCTTATGTTGCTCGAACTTTATACTCAACGAGGTTTGATTGGTATCCCCAATGTTACTCTTGCGCTTGCAACCAAATCACTCTTATTCCTCTTTATGTGTGTTTATGGCCTCATCTGCAATGATATGACTTTTGACATGATGAAAAAGATTGACATAAGAGCACACCGCCTCTTGCATTAATGTCCTAGGTGACTCCCTTCAAGAAAGTCTCCTCTCAGCAACTTCATATCCATTCCCAGAATCCAACGAGCTTTAGTGTAAAACCTATAGAAGTATTCATTGAGCGACTCTCCCTCATTCTGGTGAACTCTCTAGAGATGGGATGAATCTTTGATGATCCTCCAATTTTTGAAGAGCTGCTCCACGAATAGTCTATCATGCTCATTAAAGGTGTTGATAGTGCCCCCCCAAACGAAAGTGAGCAGAATTAGGTGCGAGCTTGACCATTAAGAATGGTTGAGAATACTTGACACAGAAGAGTCATAGAGGCACACTGAATATGCATGATAGTTTGGTAGTGGTTAATGTGATCGTAGTGGTCAATTAACTAAGGGAGAGGATTCCCTAACATAGGGTGCTGGAGGACTACCTCAATAAAGGGAGAGGATTCTTGAAAGTTGCGATGAGCGAGAAAGAGATCCCTATCCTTAAGAGGGAACTCTTCCCAAACTAGGCATCGTAGCTTGTCATGAATGACATCATCGTGAGCGACATTAAAGTAGGGGTAGCGCCGGGTGAGCTGTATGAGACAAATGAGTGGAAATTGTAGTATCAGGTAGGTTAGCATCATGGTCTGACAGAGGAAGGGTTCATCGTGGGGAGAATGCCCAATATGAGTATGCTCGAGTAGGGTATTTCTCGTTGGATATTGAACTCATGGTAAGTAAGCTTCATCTGACTATGCGGGTAGCGGTTGTCGAGCTCTGCGTAGGTGCTGTGTAATCCCTACTTGAGACTCTTCCATTATTCATACTCAATCTTCCTGAAGCAGAGACTTGATGCCCTTGGCCCCGTGATTGTCTCCTAAAATGATTGGTGTTGGAGCAGGACTCTCCATTGTTGCGAGTATTGCATCTCGCTATAAGGAGTGGTTGGTGATTGATAGTGGTCGGTGGCGAGCAACAAACAGAGGTTATTAATAATTTAGTATTTATTCAATTGATTAAACATTATTAATAATTTTCTTGAATTAATTATATTAGATAATAATTTAATATTCATTAATTAATAGTTAATTAATTATCTAACAATTTAATTAATTAAACAACAATTTAATTAAATTTAATATATAACTTATTTTTATTAATTAATTATTACAAATTATATAAAATTTATCTAATTATAATTAATTTAATAACATATTAATTATTTATTAAATAAAAACCGCCTCCCCCATCCCGCCGCCTACCCTAAAACCGGGGGATCGCGGCGCACGCAAACGACGGGATCGCGGCGTACAAAGACCTCCGAAACTTTAATCTTTCTCCTCCTTGCGATCCGCTCGTACCAGAAAGCAGTCCTCTTTCCTTTCCCACTTCCGCTTCTCAAAATCCCGTAAACCTGTCTTCCATACGGTTTTACTAAATCCTGGATTCAAGGCAAAACAGGATGCTGTAGGATTTAAAGATGCCATTTTTGCTGTTTGGCAGGATTTAGGCTAAATCCTGCTCAAATACTACCACCAAGGAGCCCGTTAGGATTTTGTCCTCCTTAAATCCTAGTTAAGGTACTAAACAGCCCATTTACGTCTGGCTCAGAATTATAGCTAACATGGCAGAAGATGGAGATGAAAGGACCTTTAAGAGTTTGGGTGTGTGCGAACAATTGGTCGAAACTTGTGAGAGTTTGGGGTGGAAAACCCCATCAAAGATTCAGGTGGAGTCGATTCCTCATGCCCTTGAAGGTGCTTTTTTTACAGCATTTTAGTTGATTTTAATGATTAATTTCATGTGCTCATGTTGCTTTGTTGTTAGGATTCTTAAATTTGACAATTATTTTATTAACTAGGATTCTTTATTGAAACCATTAATCTTTTTGTATTCAGCTTCCGAAGAACTGGTGTTGGATTTATATCGATTTCTCTTTCTGCGCTATTTATACTGATAATCAATTTACTCATTCTTTCTCAAAATTGTCGTTTATTGTACTATTAAATGGGCGACAATCTTTACTGGTTCATAGATTTAACTGTACTCATCTAGAGTAACTAAAAAATATGTTTTTAAAAACAAAAACAAAAATAAAACAAAATTGATCCCAAACAACCTCTTTATGTTTTCTTTCATTTCTGTCTCCATCTTATCTTTTCTCAGTTGTCTCCATCTTATCTCTTCTTACTTTTGAGAAAAGATTTTATGCTGTGAACTTGTATGCCTTGATCTTACTGAACTTCTTTATCCTGGAAAACAATGAAAGGCGGATATGGTTTTGGGATTTAGTTGCTTTAATATTTTGTTGGAGATACTCATTGTCTAGAATCATTATAACATTACATGTGGTTACTTGTGTAATAACAATTATTCAAGTAATTGTGCTTAATTTCTCATCCATTTCAAGTTACTTGTGAGTATAAAATGACAAATTTGGCTATTGTGCGTTGGTTCATGTTAAATTTAATCAGAAGGAGCTGAAACTTTATCCTTACATTTTTGGCTGGCTTCTTGTTTCCTCCCAACCGCTCATCAGTCTCTGGGTTGGCCCTGCATTTGATGTAAATTCTGTTTAAATATCATTTAGTGTGATACTAGAAGTTCAAAATCCAGTATTATATTCGAGGGGGTTGAATGTGATATGAAGTTCAAAATCCAGTATTTATTTTTCTGCTAGTTAATTTCACAGCTTTTTTGTTCACAGGAAGGGATGTAATTGGACTTGCGCAAACAGGATCAGGCAAGACTGGAGCTTTTGCCCTTCCAATCATCCAAGCTCTTCTTGAGAAGCCACAACCATTCTTTGCTTGTGTACTGTCTCCAACTAGGTTGGTTTTCTTTTCATGTGGTGTTTCACTTGGTTTCTATTTCATTTTACATGCTATTGATGAACTCTCATTTGGTTTTTATATTTATTTAATTCCTTTTTTTGTTGATAAAGAGAGTTGGCGATCCAAATTTCTCAACAATTTGAAGCATTAGGGTCTGAAATTGGTGTGAAATGCTCGGTGGTAAGCATTTTTAAATTACATTGATTTCTTGTACATATAGGTTTGATATTAACCAAGTGCAATTTATGATTTTTTCTGATTTTTGAGCAATTTCTTAAAAGTTATATTGGGAAAATTACCATTCAGTTGTTAACATTACTAGCAATCTAGTGTAATGATAGGAAATGCCTAGAAATTTGGCTAGCAGCTCACATTTTTTTTGGGTGCTGGCTAATGATGATAAAAAATTACGAGAAGCAAGAGGGAAGCTCAATGTGTGGTGCTAACAATCAAGCTTTGGCTGACATTCAGAAGTGTAGCTGAGGTTAAAATGCTTGTAATGCTACATTATCTATTCTCGTTCCACTTGATGAAGGGTGGGAGTTTTTTTTTTCCTAGGTGCTTCGGTTGTTAAATGGCATGTTGAGGGAGTCTCGAGTTAAAAAAAAAGAAAAAAAGAAAAAAAAAAGGTAAGGAAGATTGTACGAACAATAAGGCTCCTAAGCTATCTTGGAAGAAAGAGAAATACTGTATTGAGTTGAAACCAAAGTGATATCCATTCTATTCATTGAAATGGAAAAAAAAGGTGGAGAGACTGTGGATCCATAATGGATTGATATATTGTGAGTTTTCTATTGAAAGGTGGAAGGCTTGTGATTACACATAGTTTTTTGATGCCAACAAAAATAATTTTACTTAATATTTAATTGGGTTGATGGATATATAATAGTCTAATTTTGTACTCTTAGAAGTAGAAAAGTATTTTTCATGCAGTTAGATTTTAATAGACTTTATTGCTGCGAGTTTTGTACAATCATTATCTTTTGGGTGGCTTTTTGTGATGAGAATTCAGTCATTTTTTTCTTTTGCAAGGGATGGCTACTGGTTCCTTATTTTGTTTATGTAGTCTAAGGACATTTGTGATTCTGCATAAGGGGTTCTAAGGCATGCAAAAATAATTTTACTTGCTATGTTTGCTTTAATTTTACCTGAATTTTTAATTTGATTTAGTGATAGTTGTATGTGATTTTCGTAACCAGATTTTCGGGACATTAGATATTTTGGAAAGTTATCTTGTTGTATAAGCATGAGGCCTTGAATTTTGTAGTGGTTTTTTCCCTTTAGTTTTGTTTCCATTATCTCATTCAATGATTAGCTTACTTGCATAACTTATTGTCAAATTGGTATAGTATGATTTTTTTGTATATAAATTTTAATGCAAAATTCTTCTTATTCGACTGTTAAGTTATCATGTGCAATTTTTGCATATCATCAATTTTTGTCAAAATTAATCAATATTTGTCTAAACTAGAAGTTTGTGAATTAAGAATTTAAATGATTCTTGTTATTTTTTCCTAGATTTGCATCATGAAACTCTAGGTCCAAAGGCATTCTGCATCAATTAATTATTTTCTTGAACATCTTAAAGTTAGTGTGATTACATGATTTTCCTAGATTATTTTTTAGCATAAAGGCATCATCAACATTTTCTCAAAGGATGTTTATAAATGTATGAGAGATTAATAACTCTTTTGAATATTAAGAGACAGGGATTCAAATATATGGGGTTTTTATGATAATTAATGTGTATTTAATGTTTTTAATTAAATAATAGTGAAATTAAACTTCTTAATTGTGTTTTTGTGTAATATTTTTTTTTGACATATAGATGATAATTATATTACTATAAAAATTCACAAAGCTTGTTCCATTAGTAATTTGTATGCTGTACATGAGACTCATGAGGGTATTTAGAGCTGAGAATTGTAACCAAGGATGTCTTGCATTAACCTACATATTTTTGGGCTTAATCTTTGGGTTTGCTGGTTGTTTGAGTTTCTATGTTGTCGTGTAGTTTTTATCTTGAAATATATTTGTGGAATGAATTTTGCAATTGTGCTTAAGGTGTTTCAAGAAGGTTTTTGTTTTATCTTCAGAACGAATCGTAGCTAGCCACCAACCCATAACAATAATATTTTAATGAATTTTGTAATTATAAACTTGTTTTCATAAGTTTTTATCTAAATGTCTTATTATCATTATTAATTTTTACTACTTGTTGCTCTATGAATCTATGTCCTCCATTTTTCTTTGCGAAATGTTGAAGAGGTATTAAAGCCTAATTTGAATAACTTTGATTCAAGTTCTTTTGTCCACTCTTTTTTCTTTTGATTTTTTTTATATTAATTTGATCAACTCATTTGATTAACACATCTGATACTTTTTTCATACATGCGAAATGATTAAATTTTTTACGTTGTCTTTTTACCTAAAAGGCATATAATGTTGTTATTAGACTTCAAGTTGGATGATTGAATTGGAGGAATGCTCTAGGCCTTTTGTGTGATAGAAAAGTATTGCTTAGACTTGTGGAGGGATGCATGAATGCATTAGGCCTTTTGTGGAGGAATGCATTAATGCTAAAATTCAGACTGCCACTGTAATCATCCCACGTATCATATTCTGTATTTTCAATTAGTATAAACTTTCCATAACTCTTTTTCTGTCTTAACTCTCAAATCTTAGAAGTTCTTTTATTGGTATGCATGATATTTTTGGATTCAGTTTGATACTTAGATTCTCTATGATTGCTTTTCTTTTTTTATTAATACAAGTTCATCATCTGTTTACCATTCATTTCTAAATAAGCATTTCCAACCTTTTCTTCTTTGCAGCTTGTTGGAGGTGTTGACATGATGGCACAGGCCATTTCCCTAGCAAAGCGTCCTCATATTATAGTATGTCTTTAAGTTACATTTCTTTTATGCTATTAATCTTCGTGCTAGAAATGCTAGCTTTCATTGGCAGCATTTTGGGCAGACAGTTTTATATATACAAAGCCACTTTGATCTATTTTTAGAACACGTTTTCATATATTTTCCACATTTGATCTTTTGAATTTTTGCGCTTTTCAGTATTTTCAGTATGGCTAGAAATTGCACCGTGCAACCCCCTTCTGTGTATTTATCTAGCCTTTGTATGTGCAGTGCGATGAAATGATTTTGTAGGTGCTGAAAAGAGGCTATGTGCTTGATTTTAATATGCCATTTCTCATTTCTAGCAGCTATTCTTGAAAATTTAGTATGGAGTTAGTTTTATATTACTGGATTAAGGTACAGTTAGAAGTTTCAGTTTCTAATTTGTTGTTTCTCTGTTTTTCATTTGAATGCCCGTTTTCTTCTTCCTGCCCTCCATTGTCTTTTTTTGACTTCTATTCAAGCTTGAAAGGTGCTCCTATATCACATGGGCAGATTTATAATATTATAGTAAACAAGTGCGCTACCGTATTTTGCAAATTTTGTTATAAAGTAGTTGATGGTTGCTCTTGAACCCTTTTTTCTTATGGGTCTGTGCTGGTAAATTTTCTTTACCTAACTGTTTGTGGTTGTGCTTATGAATCCATGTGTACTATTTAAACTTTTTAAAATTTTCACATTATTTTTTTAGATTTTTTTTTTTGCACAGTTTTTAGTCATATTTTTATATTGCCTTTTTTTTTTCAATTATTCTATCCTCGTCCCTGTTGCTTTTTTTGTTATTGTTGTTTTTGGTGTCATTTGGAGCATTGAGTTCGCTATTCTTATCGACACTAGTGTCGTTCTCACCTTTGTACCTTTATGGAAAATTTAATATTTCTTTCTTTGATACTCTTAGCTTGTTCATTAGTCTTTCCTAATTTATAAATTTTTCTTTCAAAACTTCGTATATTGTTTTATAATTTAACACCATAGGCTCCCCATTTCAATCTTCCAACTTTTTTTTTACTACTTCAAACCTTATTTGTACCCACATAATCTTGAATAATAAACCCAGGATATTCAAGCCTATGACATTTAACATATAAGTTTTATACTTGCAGACTAATTATTACTGAAATTTCGATTTTACTAATTTGGAGCCCATTTACTTTTTGAGTATTTCCTCTGTTTTTTGAAATTCTCATTTTGCCTTTAAACTTGTACGTTATATGAGGATTATTTTATTTGGAAATAGAATTTATCAAGATGCTTGATAAGGATTAAGAATGTCACAAATATAGATTTATTCTTAATATTTGAATTGACTGGATTTCTATTGGAGTTTTTTCCTTTCCACGTTTGTTTATGATATGGATCTCTCCATCACGCATATCCTGGATATTTTCATCTTTATTATACAGAAAATTCTTCTCAATTTTCATAAACCAATTCTCTTGGTGCTTGAATTTTTTTGATTATCACTGTAATTTAATTATACATTTATTACTTATCTACATCTCCCTGCTACCTTAAAAGTTGCATTTTCTACATTATTTTTTGGCCCTTTTTTTACTAGATTCTGCAATTTCCTATTATCACACATTGTAAAGAAATATTCTTTGTATACCATATCCCTTCTGTTTGTTTAATTTTTTACTTCTTAATGGCCGTAGCTGAAAATATGTTATTGGTAGCATATTGTAATATTTAGCTGTAGCAAAACTTGTAAACTTTTCAATGTGAATTTGTTAACTGCGTTGGTTTAATGTTTTCTTTGGTTCTACAAAAGTTGATAGCTTATTTAGTTTGGTGATATTTTTATGCTGAACCATTGCCATCTTTTTTTCATTTAAATTCAGTTTTTAACATTTTTTATTGTTTTTTATCACTAATGCAGGTAGCTACTCCTGGACGTTTATTGGATCATCTTTCAAATACAAAAGGTTTTAGCCTTCGCATGTTGAAGTACTTGGTATGGAATTTATATTGCTTCTTCTGTTTTATGAATACCTTATTAGTCAATATTTTGATTACTTGTTTGACATTCATTAGTAAAAATTTCCACTTGGAGATATGGACTTACGCAGATGTCTTTTTGGAACCATGGGAATTTTGATTTTATGGTTTTATTGAGTTTCATAATTGTGGGAACAAGATTTAGGGTTTCTATGGAATATTAGGCAAATTTCCTTTTCTGTGTGTGAGAGAGAGGCAGAAGATGTGCTTCAAATAGATTTTCTTGGATTTTATGATGTGCTTTAGGAGGCATGCCAAAAGAAAGAAAATGACCACCTTAGAATTCATGCCCAATTGGGAGGCATGCAATTAGAGTGAAGAGAGAGAGGGAGGGAAGATTCGGCGAAGAGCCTTGGTTGAAAATTAGAGTGAGGGGGAGAAGAATTGTAAGTAAATTTTAAATAGAAGTATCATTTCAATTTCAGTTTTCCAATTATGGTTATATAAAGGATTATTTATAGCCTTAATTGATAAGAAAAATTCCAGATTTTTACAAGTTATGATAAAGTATTGAATACGACACTATATTAAAATTCGAATTGTAACTATACCAGAATAATTCAAATATTTTCTTAATTTCCTTTCCTCCTAACCGTTCTTGTTAGAAAAAAAATATGATTTTGAGTAACGTCTTGGAAGATTCTTTGATTCATTCGCTTTATTTTGTGTCTTCTTTATCCTTCGCTGTTCCCCCTTTCTTTGAAATTTAAATTGCTAATTTGCAATTTAGGTTCTTCTTTTCAAATATTATAATTCTAACTTTTTATGTGATTTATGCGGTTTTTTGAATGCCTCATTGATCATTCTGCCATGCAACTAATTATGGTGATAAGCTTAAGCAATTGGATTTCAAGTGACAGTATAAATGATTTATAAGATTATATTGTTTGAACTAAGTGATTTTCAAATTGACTATAGGCCGACACATTTTAGAAAATGTTGAAATTTGTTGTAATATTTAGTGATTTAAAATATAGGTAACATTTATTAATCGGGTCACCTATATTTATAACTCTGTCACTAGAGCTACTACTACTAAAATTACATTCCATGTATTTAGTTTTAATTCTACTCAAAAGAAGGCCTTTAGACTCCTATTTAGACCTCCATAATTGAAGTTTTTTCCTGAGCTTTTTCTCTAGCCTTATCCATGAGAATGATATCATTAGCGAAAAACATGCACCACAAGGTACATCCTCCTGTAAATGTCCAGTAAAAGCATCAATAACTAAAGCGAAATGATATGGGCTTAAAATTGAACCTTGATGTAATCCAACTGAAATAAGAAAATATTTGTTCAATCCTCCTTCTGTTCGAGCACAAGTAACAACTCTAGTATACATATCTTTAATGAATTGAATGTAAGCCATATCAACCCCTTTCTTCTCTAGAACTCTCCGAAGGATATCCCTTGGAACCTTATCCTAAGCTTTTTCTAAATCAATAAAAACCAAATTTCGATCCTCCTTATTCTCTCTAAACTTCTCCATCAAATCTCTCAACAAATGTATAGCTTCTATGGTAGACATGCTCGACATAAATCCAAATTGATTATGAGAAATCTTTATAGTACATCTTAACCCATGTTCAGTTACCCTCTCTCATGATTTTAAAGTATGACATATTAACTTAATTCCTCTAAAATTTGCACACTCTCGTGCATCCCCTTTATTCTTAAAAACTAGGAATCAAAATACATTTCCTCCACTCCTCAAACATCTTTTTAGTTTTTAAAATAATATTAAAGAGTTTAGTAAGCTAAGAAACTCACAAATCTCCTATATATTTCCGCACTTCAATTGGGATATCATCAGGTTCTATATATTTTGTAATTGAAAAAATTACTTAAAATATAAATCCAACTTGCAATGTCACTCTACTATGAACTGAAATAAAAGACCAATTATTCCTAATATATGATTACTAACTTATAGTTGTGCTTTTTGATATCACCTTCTTATAATACGATTAGATTGACCTATGAACGCAATTATTTTATTAGTACTATATAAAGTAGTAGTATAAGTATTGATTTTGAAATGCAAATTAATAATATATGTTGCCATTTTTCATTCAAGTAATATTGAAGATTTGTGAGAGTACCATTGCATTCTTTTGGTTCATATGATGATGAAATGAATATATGGTAGAGTTCATTTAAAACACATTCAATTCTAGCTCTCTCTCTTACTATTTTCTCTCTCTCTCCTCTCTTAAAAGTTAAATGTTGGTCGCCCATATTGGAAAATTGTTGCATTGCATTTGGCACAATTACAAGGCTTTTGGTGTTTATATAACTTTAAGCTTAAAGGGTTATATTCAACTACCTTATTACTAACAATTATAGATGAATAAGATCAAAATTTTTTGCTTTAAATCATTATGTAAATGCTGAGGCGTCCTCTGGAAGTGACGTTGTATGACCTGAATATAGTGAAAAATGTGCAAGAGTTACTACATCTGCGCTCATGTGTAGTGTATAAGAAGTAAGGGTTCTCACATTATGGACGAATTTGGGCAAAGAAGTTAGTTCATAAAACTAATATTAAGATATGATAAAATCTTGGAATACAAGTACTCTCACATATAAATTAAGCTCTCACTGGACATATTTCTAGGAGGATGTACCTTGGTGTAATGCTTTTCGTTGATGTTATTCTTTTTGTGGTAAAGACTAGAGAAAGAGTTCAGAAAAAAAATTTAATTAAAGAGGTTTACATTAGAGTTTCAAGGCTTTCGTTTAAGTAGATCTAAAATTGAATACTCAGAATATAATTTTAATAGTAGTAGATCAAGTGACAGAGTTGTAATTATGGGTGATCAAATCATTAAAAGGTATGAACGTTATTGTTTAAAGTGATGTTGATATAGATGGTGATGTTATTAGTAGAATTCAAGTTGGAGGGTTGAAGTAGAGGAAAGCACCGCGTTGAATTGGAGGAATGCATCGGATAGAAAAGTATTGCTTAGACTTGAAGGAAAATTTTATAAGATGGTGAAATCTGCAATGCTTTATGTCGTAGAAGTTTGGCCTTTAAAAGATAAGCATAAAACTCAGTTAAGTGTTGCTGAGATAAGAATACTTAGGTGGACGAGTGACTTTAATCTTAGAGACAAAATGCGAAACAAATGTATCCATGAATGGATTGATGTAGCTCCAGTGAAAGTAAGATTAGAGAGATTTGTCCTAGGTGGTTTGTTTGCATCAAACATCTATCATGTGATGATTTGAATAAGAAAATAGATGTTTTAGATTCAACTTATGTTATGAAAGGCAGAGGTAGACTTGAGACTTGGGTATATTGTATAAAAAATAATCTTACTTTTTTAGAATTAAATGAAAATATGGCACTCAATAGAACATATTGGAGAAAAGGATTCATATAGCCGAATTAAGGCTTGTTGTTGTTGTTGTGGGATCAAAATTATATTATTTGTATATTTATTAGCTTAATTGCTATTTCAATTAGGACTTTTAATAAATTAATGCTCATCCATTATTTTTTTGGGCAAATTATAGTGTAATGCTATGCATTATTTTAATAATGATATAAGCATTATTTTAATAGCAATATAAGCTAACAATGATGAAGGGCCATGCTATACTTTGAAAAATGCACCAAATGCCATCTTATTGATAATTTAGATCCTAACTATGACTTAAACCAAATGGGTCGACTTTTCTGGCTCAATGAAAATTCTGTTGGAGATGCTATTTATTTCTTTTTTTGCTTCATTTGGTAACTATCTTCATGATTATAAGATGAGACGTTTAATTCTAGCTGAAGGCTTTATTTCTGGAACTTTGGACAAATTATCTATGTTATATATATATATGTTACAGTCTTGATTTCCTATCTTTTTTCTTAGTGGCCATTCTTTCTGATTTTGTATTTAATACCGGACAATAAAGTTTCTAACATGTTTGGATCATGGTAGGTTCTAGATGAGGCTGATAGGTTGCTCAACATGGACTTTGAAAAGGCTATTGATGATATTCTTAAAGCTATTCCCAGAGAACGCAGGACATATTTGTTCTCAGCAACTATGACAAAAAAGGTGGATATTAACTTTTATGTTTGTTTTATTAAAAAAAATGCCTGTTTTGTTCATGCTTTTGCTTAATGATGTATCTAATTTTTCAAATTGTTTATTTTTGTCTGTTGCCTGGATGTTAGCATATAACTGTAGTATCTTTTTTTGCTACTTGTAGCATACATTTTCAAATGTAATTGCTTAAGTATTAAGTGCATGATTGATTGATGTAATTTGCAATTTTAGAAATAATGAACTGATGGTCTGCATGAATATGTACTAATGTTGTTGTCTCTTTTTCTAGAAAGTTCATCTTCTGTTAATGCAATTTTTGGATTCTGAGTCCTGACAGAGCTGAATATTTATCTTGCTCAATATTTTGTGTTTTTTTACTTGAGTGCATTCTATCTGCACCATTTTTCTTGTTTGATTAGTTTATCAATTAGCAGTAGCCTAGTGAGTGATTGAGTCTGGAGCCATGTTAGGTTGCTTAATCTTTAGGTTATTGTTTCAGATAATGAAATAATTTCTCTATTATGCATATGTAAGACTGCACACATTAAGACATGTTGGGAAGAGCTGCTCTTTTTTAGTAATAATACAATTCTTATAATATTACTTGAACAAAATTTATTTTGCTTTACTTTGTTAGTATTCATCTTGAACAGAGGATTTAGCTTTGATTTTGTTTCCTGCAGGTTGGAAAACTTCAGAGGGCTTGCCTTAAGAATCCTGTAAAGGTATATATCTCAATGCTACAACTTTTTTTTTTCCCGAATATATGTCTGTAATTTCTTTTTGGAATGATGAAATTGCATTAGCTATGTTTTCTTTTAGATTGAGGCATCCTCCAAGTATTCTACTGTTGATACTCTAAAACAGCAATTTCGTCTGGTACCTGCCAAGTACAAGGTTCTTTTCAAACATTCTTTTTAGCTAATTAATATATTTGAACTCTTGTCATCTATAAGATTGATGATAGATATAGTAGTTGTGGAATTCTTCAACAAAGCATTCTCTCTTTCCTTGATGCTGAGATTCTTGTAATCTGCAAATATCTGTCTTAAGTGATATCAATAAGATTTATAAAGTCTGATTTGATTGATAAAAAATGTAATTAGAGGGGACATATTCATATATAATCAATTTCTTATGCAAGCCCTGAAGTAAATATTAAAATTATATATGCCTTCTTTACTTCTTCTCAATTATCTACTTTTGAACGATTTGAAAATTTTATTTTAGTATATGAAATTATGCTTATGCATTATAGAATTCTTGTTACATTAGGTGAGAGCAATTTGCATGTTTTGTAATTATTAATTAGTTTTAGCAAAAGAGAAGTGATTTTTATAGGTCAGCATATTCCATCTGCATTGTTCAAAATAAAATAGTTGTCATGTTGTAAAGAATATTAACTTTTTTCTAACTAATTATATTTCCCAAGGAAGAATGAGAGATTACATTGTTTTATGTTCATAAAAATTTATCATGATATCTAAATTATTGTATGGCTTAATTATTTATAGTAAAAATAGGCATTATTTATTTTAATATTGTTGAGGTTATTCTCCTTTATTTTATTTTCTATAGTAAAAAATATGAACTCCTTGCATTATATAAATTAAAATGTAATCGACAGATTTGAACCATAGCTTGATTTGAGCATTCAATTTGTAATTATAGGTTATTGCTTGTTTTTCAAATCATTTGCTTAAATACCTATCATTTATTATATTTTTTGTCCGTTGACTTTATTATATGTTTGGGTACATAATTTTGTTAGGACTGCTATCTTGTTTACATTCTGACTGAGATGTTTGGAAGCACATCTATGGTCTTCACTCGTACTTGTGATTCTACAAGACTTCTGGCTTTGCTCCTCCGAAACCTTGGCTTAAAGGCGATACCCATCAGCGGTCAAATGAGCCAGGTGCTGTCAAATTTTGCTGGTTGGAGTTACTGTGAACGATAAGTTTCACCTATTGTCTCTAATAATTTGTTGATTTTTTTCTTTTTGCAACCTTACCAATTTTTATGTTGTTCATGGATATCTAATGGCAGACAAAGCGACTGGGAGCATTAAATAAATTCAAGGCTGGAGATTGCAACATTCTTATATGCACTGAATGCACTGATGTTGCTAGATGTTGCTAGTAGAGGACTTGACATACCAACAGTTGATTTGGTTATAAATTATGACATTCCCAGCAATTCTAAGGTCATTATTTTGAGTATTTTAAGTTTTTGAGCTTGTCCCAATCAATGACTTGAACTTATGTGCTTACATGCACCTAACCACTCATAAATTTTGTATTTTAAATTCATGCTAGTACTAGTGCAATGATGCGTACACTTCTTAGAAGGTTATCTACATGTGCATCCTTTCTGTTTTAAGAAAAATGTTGACTTTTTTGACCTCTCTAACCCCATGTATGGGGAATGCCTTTCTTGATGCAATCAAAATTGTGGTGTTATTTTGAATTCAAAATCTCATGTAAGGCTTAGATAGATTTCATGAATATTTGACATTCCGAAGTTTGAGTGCCTTTTTTCTTCATTGTTGATTCTCACATTAGCCTTTTTGTGCTTCAATAAGTTCTACCAAAAGGCCGTTATATTTTATTTGGATGCAACTTTCAAATTAATTTCAATGACGTTGGTGTAGGAATATGAGATCTTTCAGAATTGAAGGTGTTCAGAGTTCTTATATTTGTGCCACAACTAATTTTTTGAATTGGAAGCACTGTTTATCTGTTGCATACTCTTTACATACACAATCATCTCAAGTATTTAAGCTGGTTTTGTTAGTAATGTTTTCAAATAAGCATATGACATGAACCTTTTTTTTTAGTTGTTGAAACTGAGTGATTTGACAATTATTATGTTATTCTAAGAATGTAGCATGATTTCCTTATTAATTCTAACTCACTTAAAAATCCTCTTAAATTTGATGCAGGATTACATCCATCGCGTCGGCAGGACTGCTCGTGCTGGGCGGTCTGGATTAGCCATTTCATTAGTAAACCAGTATGAAGTGGAATGGTACATTCAGATAGAACAGCTTATCGGTATGTTTTTTTTCTACAACCACCCATGTTATGTGGAACATAGGAATCATTGGAGGGTAGGTAAGACCTTATCTTCTGTTATTGCTTGTTTTGAATTTTGTAGGAAAAAAGTTACCTGAGTATCCAGCGGAGGAGGCTGAAGTTTTATTATTATTGGAGAGAGTTTCAGATGCTAAAAGAATATCCCAAATGGTATTCTAATTCCTTGCATATTCTCATTAGGAACTTATTCTGTTGCAGCCATGTTCATCTCAATATTCTGCTTCAAAAATTGCAGAAAATTAAAGAAAGTGCAGGGAACAAAAAACGGAGGAAGGGTGGGGATGATGATGATGATGGTGAAGTTGAAAGGTATGCCTTTAACACCAAGAATGAAAAGACATCTAAGAAAGGGAAAAGGTAGCTTTGAAAGATCTTTGCACATGAGGGGTTACAGTACTTCTAGTTCTTTTTTAATCCTACTATTCTTTTGGCTCTATTTTAATGGAGATGCAACCCCAATTTTGGTAGAGTTCTGTCATTCGTCTCCGGCTTCCGTCAATTGTAAAACGTTAGTTGGTAATGTTTATAGTTGAGACTGAGTAACTTAAGAATTTATAGTGAAGTTTATTTTCTTTCTTTGAAAATGAGAATACGTGGTTAATGAAGTGGGGAAGAACTAAGTTTATTTCTACGCTTGTTGTTCATCAGTTAATTTGTCTCTCGATATCAAAACTGTAATTAGTAAAGTAGTTTTTTCGTTGAAAATTGCCATTGTCATATTTTTTGAGTTTTTTAGTAAGGCTTACTCTACCTTTTTGTCACCTGTTAGATTGTTATTGGCTCTGCTTGTTGGTTGTTACACCAATAGAAAATTTAAGATAAACAATCCATGGACTGCTTTTTTGCTTTTAATAATCAATTTATGGTAACATTTTTATAATATATATAATTATGAGAAGGTTCGTTACACATTTGGAGATCTGAGGGCCATCCTAAATTCCTAATCTTTCTTTGGTTCCACTGTTGCTCCGAAAATTTAATTTTCTTCAGTTTATGATGATGATTATGCCTCTTGGCTCAAATTGTTTTCAATACATCTAAATGGGAATATTTGCTTACTTTCTGTCTATTTGAACCTTGGGTTTCTGCAAAAATGCGCTAGTTTTGGAAGTTTTTTCTCCTGAAATTTTTTTGTCATCCCTTCATCATTTTATCCAACAAATTTTCATTTGTCATAAACTAACCTGTTTGGGGAGGATTATTTGCTGCGGTGTGGTTTCGAAATGTTGGGTTTGTCATTTGAAAAGTGCGGCACGACGGCTTCTTGGGATTAATCGGGACTTAGATTTTTGATTTAAAATAATATATTTATTTAAATCATGTTTTCTTCATTGAGTGTGATTGTAAATTCCTTTTATTTACATAGGCTAAAATGAGTGATTTTTTTATAAATAAGTTAAATATTGAATGATTATATACATATAACTGGTAAAGCGCAAGCCGGCATGCTAAAACTAATCTTTCAGGATTGTCCAATAAAATTATTGAATCGAATTATGAGAAAGAATATTAAAAAACACATATTTCTAAAATCTAAAATGATACTCTAAATAATTTATTAGTTCAAAGCAAAGGACAAGCTTGAAAGTTTGAGGTTGAATTTATCCAAGTTCATAAAATCTAATGGTTCAAATGAAGAGGTTTCAAAAAAATAAAATACTTATAACTTTAGTACACTATTGAAATTTGACTAAAATTTTCGCTATTTACTTATTCTTTTTTTTTTCAAGTTTTCATGCGGTGGAGCAGAATACATGTTAATGCTGACATTTTCATGATTCTAATGCTATCTTAACTACATCTAATTACGTTGTTAGACAAGATGCCCATTTATATCCAATAACAAATATGTAGTGTGTATAGTTTAGAGGTAAAAGTGTGATTCGTTCTATTAACAACTTCAATAGTTAAGGGGTCTTTCCTTTTTTTTTTTCATATTTCATATTCTGATAAAAAACTTTATTTCTTAAAAAGATTTAATACTTTATCCCTCAATAGCACATTTGAGGAAAAAAATATACATTATCACGATTTTTATTCAAAAAACATTATTCTCAAAGAATGCTAAAAAAAGTAAATCTCAATATTCAAATCAGAAAATCATATTTCATAAATCTAAAGAAAAAAATGAGAAAATATGAATATATTAGGGTATATTTATATTAGAATATATTCATACATAAATACATAACTCTTACATAAGAATTTATATTGTCTATTTGTATATTTTTCTTATTAAGAATATTTTAATATTACAAATTATCTTATTATTCTCTAATTTATTAGAATTGAATATTTATGAATATCTCAATGAAATATTTAGTTAAATAAAAACTTTTATCCATTCATGGGAATTTCTTTTTCATCTGAATGAAAGTAAAGCCAAAGGATTTTTTTAGGTTCTTTTTTATTTTAAGAAAAAGAATTTATGATGGACAATCCTGAAAGATTTGTTTAAGATGGATGTGTTTAACTCCTATATAATGTTTTTTATTTTAAGAAAAAGAATTTATTATGCAATCCTGAAAGATTTGTTGAAGACCTATGCTATAGAGTATATAACTTCGATCATAGGGATCAAGTTCTGGCCGCGTAACTTCATAATAATTCTGTAAAACTTCTGCATAATTTCCTTCGGATTTAGCCGACATCCGTTACGGTTATCATTCTAGTAAAAGAATCTTCGTTTCATAACCGTATGTGAGATTTTCATCTCATCCTTCTGTGCATGGTACTAAGAGAAATAATTCATGTAATAAAAATTTCATTATTCTCATTATCAACTGATAGAAGCTGGTGTTTTTACAAGAAATTCCTAGTCAGCCTTCCCACAAGAAGTTTTTTCTTAACACCAATCATATTAGTGCTAGATAGAAAATGTAACTCCAAAGATTTCTTCGTACTCAACGCTTATTATTTCCAGAAATTAGTCACTTCAACGACCTTTGATGGTTATACGGGTACCAAAAGTACGAATGAGATGGATCTTTGTTTTCCTAACCATTCTTTTTAGTCGTGATACCAATAAGGAAAATGGTTTTTTATAACAAAGTTTTTGTGTTGTTGATTCCTATGTGTAGTGTTTTTCCCATATGCCACCTATTGGTACTAAATGAAGTAGTATTGACCTCTAATAAAGAACCTATAGGGATTCTGTACAATCATAATTCTGTTAAATATTTAGTACCTATCTAAAATTTAAAGAATTCTTAATAAAAAAAATAAAAGAAAGTAAATCTAGATCTCCGTCATTCAGAATCTAAATACAAAGAAGTTAGGTTGCAAAAAAAATCATTTTTTCGTTATCTTGGTTTGGAAAAGCAAGAGAATAGGTCCCTTGAGCACCTATTCATTATGACATAATAAATCCGAACACTTGCCCCAAATCAACTTTAATATCATAAATTACCATAGCTTCATTGGAAAAGATGGTTGTCGAGCTAGAGGAGAAGGTTGCCTCGTCAGTCTCCAGGGGGAGTACGAGTATGGTTTGGTACATCTTGGAAGTTAAATACATTGCCCGCCAAGATATTCTTGCAAATTCTGGAAAGTCGAATCCCCGTTGTTTTGGGGGAATTATGCCGGTTGGTACCGGATTCAATAATTTAGTACATCGTTCAAAGCAAGACAAAAACATTTGTTTGAAAATCAAAAGAAAGAATCTATTCTAGTTGGAAATGAGTGATATTTTGCTACACCATAGAGAATTATTTTGTTCTTGTGCCCAAAAACTTTCCACGAGACATCAGACCAATCTCTTATGTAATGTATCCTAACAAGAGGTTTATTCTTTTTTATTTTAACTCTCTGGTCCGATTATGGATTTCATAATCAATGAAATAAAAAAGAAAGAATGAAATTCATGGTTTGGGTCATAAATCAATGGCCAATCCTGGTAGAAGGTTCCGTCGGAACAATTCTTTATTTCATAAGGTACTGAATCTCTTTGAAAAAAAAAAAGAAAAGAGAAAGTGTGGGAAAATGGGAAGACGATATTGGAACATCAATTTGAAAGAAATGATGAAGCAATAATTCATTTTGGTCATGTTACTAATAAATGGAATCCTAGAATGACTCACATCTTGGCAAAGCATAAAGGTATTCATATTACGAATCATACTATAACTGCTCATTTTTTATCAGAAGTCTGCAATTTAGTTTTTGATGCAACAAGTAGGGGAAAAAGATTCTTAATCGTTGGCACCAAAAAGAAAGTAGTGGATTTAGTAGCATCAGCAACAATAAGGGTTCGATGTCATTATGTTAATAAAAAATGACTTGGTGGTATGTTAACGAATTTTATATAGGTGAATCCATGGAGGGTCATCATTGACTCACTTTCAAAATAGTCTTTTTTGAAGCTTATCCCAATTCAAGCAATGCGGGGGTTCGGGGTTCAATATAATCCACTGGGTTGGAGAAGAGAATGCAAATGGCTACATGTATGTATATATGAAGAAATATATATGATATTGCAGAATCTGGAAGATAAAGATAGGTTGGAGATCATGTATATCTAATACCTATGAGTATCAATCCTTGTGTATGTTTTGAAGAATGGTTTCAGAATACAATTTAATAGGATAAAAAAGAATAAAAAGTGCAGGTGATTTACGTTATGGAAGAAAAAAGTATATGTTATTTACTAGTTAAATGGTAATTACCCCTATCTCTTTTTTTTTTTCTAGTCCACTGCATTTAGATGGATTCCCACATAAGTCCTTTTTCTATTTTGTCTTTGATTGTGAATTGAATGAAAGAGAAAAATAGAATAAAAAAAGAGAATAATTTATAATTTATAAACAAGGAAACACAATACTTAAACCTTATACATAATTATTTACATAAGGTAGAAGGGAAAAACGGTCTATCGAAGTAGTTTTGACAATTTAGTAATATTCTGAATTCCTTTTGGAACTTTTAGCTACTTCGACCCAATATATTTTAGTGAAAAAGATCAAAAAATAAAAAAAAGAAGTGTATTAAGGTAATAGAATATTAAAGTTCCAAATAAAATTTAGAGCAATACCAAAGAAAACCCATCTTTTTTATAATGATTAGTCTAAAATCAATTGGATTTTGCATTCATTAAGATAAGGAGATACAAAATTAGGAGTTGTTCGCTAATTCAAAGTAAGAAAAGTAAGTAAGAGTAAAAGAGTAATAATTAAATATTAAATAGTCATGAAGTAAAGAGTAATTTATTCGAAATTGTCCTGCATTTTACAGTCTGTGACCGGGCCGGGCTCTGTGACCGAGCCGGGAATCTTTTGACTTTTATATAGATCTATCGAATTTATAGAAAACTGAAAAGAGAAGATAAGTTTTTAAGCAACACGTGTTTTGAAATAAAATTAATCGAAGAAAAGAATATAAATCGGATCCAATAAAAAAGAGTAATTTTTTTTGGAAAAGGATAAGTACAATGGGATTTAAGATCCAAAAATAAAATAAATTAAGAAAGTAAAAAATTCAAATCAAAACCAAAATGAGGAGAGGAATAAAAAGAGAATAAAATAGAATATCTAAGTATAAGAATATTCTTTTATTCTTATATAATATATTGTTTATA